TAATGAAGCCTGTCTATTTTCTTTTTGCATCTACCATAACATACCTTTGGAATATCAAAGTAATTTCTTTTTTCTGGACCCATCAAAATACAGGTATCACACCAGAGTGGAGGCCACAAATCCCCTCATTGTCACTGAGTTCATTGCTGACTGTTAACTATCCTATACCCACCTATGTAAAAGAAATATGTGTCAATCATTTTACTTCTCACCCAATCCCAAAGGTTTCCCCACTTTGCTTTCCCCCACCTCCCTAATCTATCACCAGTGGATTTCATGTAACCCACTTATGTCTCCTCTTTTGATTGTAATGTATGAAATAAGGTGCAAAACTGCCATTCTCTGGAGTTTATCTCAATCCGTTGAGATTTTGCTTCCTGGCCGTTGTTGACAGTTTGGCTCAAAAAAACTCACAAAAATTCTTTACAGGTTTGAATGTTTCTTACCTTGACAGTTGGGAAATCAGTTCTCCTGAATCCCAGTGCCACGACATTTCCACTGAATCATGCTGACCCACCGGCAGGGAGCAGCTGGGTGAAGACAGAACATTCCAGGCTACAAATGTGCTCTTGTTTCACAGCCCTCTTTTTTAGGTTCCGAGTTCCCTATTAAACCCCTCTGAAAGAACAGGGCACACCACCTTTCTGTTCCACCCTGTTTATTTATTCGTTCTACAGAGATTTGTTCTTGGGTGCTCAGTACAGAGACTGCAACAGTGAAAGGGAGGCTTAGGCCGCAACCTGTAGGTGAGCAGAGACACGCTGGATGTTCCCTTGAGAGTTCTGAGCAGGCCATTAATTTGGCACCCACTTAAGCCAGCGTTCTTTAAATATTTATTGAAAATTTATTTAGCAGAGAGGATGCATACTATATAGGAGAAGGTTGGAGAGGGAGATCTGTTGGGGAAGATTCTCTTTCTCTTTCATTATCTTAAGCAATTCAGTTTTGGCCTCAAACTTTCCTCGGGCCTCACCATTCCTCTTTAGAAGTTACTGTGTCACCTGGCAGGTGTGGCTCAGTGGTTGAGTGTCCACCCATGAACCGGTAGGCCAGGGTTTCGGGCTCGATCCCCAGCAGAGGGTGTGCAGGAGGCAGCCAGTCAATGATTCTCTCTCATCATTGATGTTTCTCTCTCTCCCCCTCTCCCTTCCTCTCTCTGAGGCAATTCTTTTCAACTCTTCTAGTTACTTTTTCTGAAATTTACAAATTTACCTAATGACATGCTCATCCTATCATTTATCTTTGCAGCTTCGCTTATTCACTTCCTCCCATAGAAAGTGAGAATTTAGATTTCTTTTTCTGTGTCCTTTCCCTGTCGGTGTCTTCATCTTGGAGTTCTCAGTCTCCAGAACGGTGAGGAACGCGTTTCTGTTGTTTTAAGCCACCCAGTCTATGGTATTCCGAACTCACCACCTTGAACACTGATGGTGGCACGCAGAGGGAAAAAGAATCAGAGGAGTCTCAAGGCAGCAAATAAATGCTTTGGGTGGGAGGCCACACATATCCTTTCTGCTCAAACTCACTGGCCACACTTGGCTATAGGAGGGCCAGGAAATAAAATCCTACCAAGTTTCCAGAAGGCAGAAAGCCAGGAATTTTTAGTGAAGAGCATTAATTGTTTGTTAGTCACTACATGCCAAGAACTGTTCTAAGTATATTACAGGCAGCCCTGGCCAGTGTGGCTCAGTTGTTTGGGTGTCGTCAGGTGAACCAAAAGGTCGTGCCTTCCGCAGGGTCAGGGCACTTGTCGGGTTGCAGGCTCAGTCCCCAGTAGGGAGCGTGCAGGAGGCAGCCAATCTATGTTCCCTTCTCACATTGAATGTTTCTCTTCTGCTCTCCCTCTCCCTTCTTCTCTCTCTAAAAATCAATAAAAATATTAAAATAAATAAATAAATATATTACAGGCATTATCTCAGTTAAGCTTCACAACAATCCTATGAAATAGGTACTATTAATGTCATCACAATCCTCATTTTATAGATGAAACAACTGGGGCACAGAGAGGTAAAGCAACCTGATCAAAGTCACACAGTGAAGGTGAGGATTTAAATAGTCATTCTGGTCCCACAGTCTGTGCGCTTAACCACCAGACTTTGAGAAGCACTGTCATAGATGATGGAGAGTCACCAAAGGATTTAAAGAAGGAGGGCATCATTCAGTTAGATTTGCCATTTAGAAAGCTCTCCCCAAGAGTGGGGGGAAGGATCAATTTAACTAGGGTTAGACTAAGGCGGGAAGGCTATTTGCATAGTGAAAGGAAGAAGAAAAAGAGGACTTGAACTAGGGCACAATTACCACAATTAACTGGGTAATCTTGAGCTTCTGTTTCATCATTTCTTGAAAAATGGTTATGCTAGCCTGGCCCGCGTGGCTCAGCGGTTGAGTGTGGATTTATGATCACCGTTTGATCCCAGGTCAGGGCACACGCCCGGGTTTTTAGGCTGGGTCCCCAGTAGGGGGCATGCAGGAGGCAGCCGACCAATGACTCTCATCATTGATGTTTCTATTTCTCTCTCTCTCTCTCCCTTCCTCTCTCTGAAATCAATAAAAAATATTTTACAAAGAAAAAGAAAAATAGTTATGCTAATATCTATCTTGATGGGTTTTTTCCTGAGGATTATAAAGGATAGCATAAGCAAAAACTCTGACAACACTAAGGCTAGAATCACTGGAATCACAGACACCAAAGTTAAAAATCCCAGCTTTACTATTCACCAGGTGGATTTTATTATTCTAAGTCTCAGTTTGCTCATTTATAAAATAGGTGTAAAGCAAGAAAAGTTAAGTAAGTTAAAGTAAGAAAAAATATTGCAAACTGGTGGCAGGTTGAGAACATTAACTTAGGAGGAAGGCGGAATTCCTTCTAGAGAAAGAACTGACATTTTGTTTAGGAAAAATACCCTAATGAACTTGTGTGTTTATTACAATCAAGCCTCCTAGGCATAGCTAAAAAAGAAGAGGCTTCAACAAAGAATTAAATTGTTTTGATTACTAAAGTAATAGAAAGTGTTAATTGTCCTCTGATGAGATTAAATTTCTGGGGGAAGCCTGGTCTCAGGAGAAAGTAAAGAGATGGAGGGTTTCCACCAGAGATAAGATAACTATCTGGTTTTAATGACGTCCCTGATCCATTTTTCTCATGACAGCCAATTATTTTTTTTCTTTTATTGAATTTAGAGAGAGAGGAAGGAAGAGAGGGAGAGCAAGAGCGAGAGAAAGAGAAACATCATTTTGTTGTTCCACTTATTCATGCACTCAGTGGTTGACTTTTGTGTGTGTCCCGGCCAGGGATTGAACCTACATCCCTGGTGTATTGGGATGATGCTCTAACCAACTGAGCTACCCAGCCAGGGCTGCCAGTGATCTTTTAAACCCTCAGATTGGACCATGTTGTTTCCTCTCCCCCAGTAAGTGCCTGATAGTTAGAAGTTGCTCAATAACAATTTGCCAAATGAATGAATGAATGAATGAATGAATGAAT